GAAACCACTATTGTAGACATCCATTCAGGCTCACTAGCATGCATTCCACACCCATGTGTACTTTTTTAGAGAAGGAATAGAGTCTCGGGTGGGTGCCTGGTGTAGTCCGTGGAGCTCTTCTCTCTTCCTCACGCCATGTGCTTCGGGTCTTGTACAAGGCTCTCTTCCGAGGGAGGGTTAAAAGGCCTGGCCAGAGATGTGAACTTCCAGTATCAGGAGAGCCAGGAACCATACTTACCCTCGCAGTTGGAGCGAGTGCCATCAAGCTGTGGAAATCCGAGGTGGGACACGCCGGTTATGAGGCTGCGTTCCCGAGAGGTGTTGTTATTTACACCCTTGCTGGGATGGTTAGACGCAAATGAGACGACCCAACTTTGCCGAGCCTGAATACAATTAATTTCTGTGCTAATGTCCATCGGGCTGTACGTCTCAGAGATAAACAAATATATAGAGAACCTAATATAATGATTCTTAAAAGGTTGGGGCGCCTGGGTGGCTCAGTGGGTTAAAGCCTCTGCCTTTGGCTCGGGTCATGATCCCAGAGTCCTGGGATCGAGCCCCGCATCGGGCTCTCTGCTCAGCAGGGAGACTGCTTCCTATTCTCTCTCTGCCTCTCTCTCTGCCTGCCTCTCTGCCTACTTGTGATCGCTCTGTCAAATAAATAAATAAAATCTTTAAAAAAAAAAAAAAAGGTGTGGTGGCCCTCAGTGGGATGTAAATGACCCTCCCATTAAGAATGAAGGGCTGTTAATGAAGGGATATGGCCAGAACTGGGACCTCAAAATTACACTCACACACGCCACACCTTGTCACCAGATTGCCAGCGGAACGACTTGGGACTCTTTCAGGTAATTTCAGGTGTTTTCGGGGTTTTTTTTGTTTTTGTTTTGATAAATGAAACCACACACACACACACAAAAAAAAAACGCATGCAATCTGGAACTATTTTTGGCTTAGAAATCCCAGATGGTCTGAATGGGAAATTACAATTTCTTATCCACAAAGCCTCTGGTAGCTAACTACACAGCTCCTTGAGGGAAGGTCACTCTCCCTTCGACCCTCTCGGGTCAGATAATACTGGCTGCCACTTAGGGGTCCCACTCTCAGGGGACCCCGTCTTCTATTTCACACCCCATATGACATTTAAGCCTTGCAACAACCCAGCAAGGAAGATGATGTGAACCCCATCAATAGCCAAGAAAAACGAGGTATAGCAAGGTCAGAACCTTATTCAAGCATGCACACATAGGAAACAATAGCTCTGAAAGAAATGGAACGCCTGCCTTGTTCCCTGCTGCCCTGGGCTCTGGGCTCACCCGACTTCTCTGAGCCACCAATTACACAGTCCTCTTAAACAAGATTTCATTTCATTTTATTGCCTGCCGGGTCTTCTCTGCCCTGACTGTTGTCACCTCAGATGAGTTTCAGTGCTTTTCTCGTCTAGCCCTGGTAACCCCTTTGAATAGCTCTGCTCGAGGCCAAGTCTCACCATTTGCCCTAAATTGGCTCCTGAATCCACTGTCCTGTATTGTTTCCCGTGTTCTGTGAGGTCAGGGGTGTGGAAATTCTTTTATTATTATTATTATTAGTTTCAGGGGCACAGTATAGTGATTCAACAATTCCAGACAAACTCAATGCCCATCACGGTAAATGTAGTTTTGATCCCCTTCACCTATTTCCGCCCAGCCCTCCACCTGCCTCCCCACCAGCAACCGTCGGTTTGTCCCCTAGAGTTAAGAGTCTGTTTTTTGAAGAAAGAGTTAAAAAAAAAAAAAAAAGAGTCTGTCTCTTTTCTTCTTTCTTTCTTTGTTTCTTGTCTTGTAAATTCCAAATGCATGAAATCATAAGGTGTTTGTCTTTCTCTGACTGACTTATTTCACTTAGCCTAATCTGTGTGGTTGCAAATGTCAAGATTTCATTCTCCTGTATGGCTGAGGAGTATTCCATTATAGATACATAAGGGATGATGAAAGCCTTGGTTTTCTCCCCAGAGGAAACAGTACAACTATATGGAAAAATGAAACACTACACAGATACACACACCTAGCCTCAGCTTGGGAGTATAGAGGAAACCTACAAGCTGAAGTTCCCTTAGAGATCCCTAGACCTAGTTGTTTGGGATTTTTTGTTTTCTTTCATGTCTGTTGGGGGAGGTCACAGAGAGGACGTGACCACCAGTTGACCCTCCAGCTGGACACGAAGAGTCGGTAGAGGTCCCCCACTCGTCTTGCAGCCACCCACAACAAGCCTCATGTCTAAGTCCCTTCCTTCGGGAAATGGCCCCCTACCCATCTGGAGGGGTCTACTTCTTTCCCAGTCTCCCCATGCCCTCCCAGGGCCCAGTTCCAGATTTATCAGGAGCTCCTGAGGTTGCAAAGCAACAATGTCCATAGAGAACCTCTTAGAGGTGGAAGATACCCTTGGTCATAGTGGGAAGGAAGGAAGATTCCCCAAGAGGCCTCATTGTCCTCCAGACTCTCACTTCTCCACCCCTTGGCCCCCTTTTCTCGAAGGTAGAGGTCTGTAGACACTAAGCCAGTGCCTACAACGTGGGGTGGGCATGGGAGTCCTGGTTTAGGAATGTGGAAATCCTGCCTGTTCAATCTTGGGAGAGCTGCTTCAACTCCCAGGTGCTCTTGTTTTTTTCATTTATTTCTTTATGTGTCGGAGGAGAGGAGAGAACTAAAATGAGTGTTGCTTATAACCTTTATGTCCAAGGGATTCAGAACATGCCACCCTAGAAGATGCCCTCTGGTGTATTGATTATTTTGAGCTGAAGGTGGGAGAGAAAGTGCAGACACAGGAGGGGCTCTGATCTACCACCTTTCCACCTAAAAACAGGCCATAAAATTTCCCACAAGGAAGGTGCCCCCGGTGTGCAGGGAAGGGGACGTTCTTATCCCCAGGCCCTGGGAGTCAGCACTGGAAGGCACCCACGCAAACGATCCCTCTGGCATCACCCTTATCTTCCGCTTCTCTCCTTGTATGTTTCCTAGTCAATGTCCCACGATTTACTGCCCTGTGCCCAAGCCACTTTGTCTTGTCACGTCCCACAATTTGTTGTTCGTTGTCGAAAAAGGTATATAATTACGTGACTCTAATGGCTTCTTTGGGTCTTCATTTTCCCTTTGAAAGTTCCAATCTCCATGTAAAAACATGAAATTAAACACACATGCTTTCCTCCTGGTAATCTATGTCAGTTTAATTTCTAGGCCCAGCCAGAGACGCAAGGAGGGTAGAAGGTGGTTTCTCTTTCCCTCCCATGCATCCATGAATCTTGAATCTGGGGGTCTTGTGAAAAAATGCAGATTGTGATTCAGAAAGTCTTCAGTGGGTTCTGCCTTCTTAACCAGCGCCCAAGCGAGGCCCATGCAGTTGCTGGGCCAGGGATGGCCCTTTGCCATCTGAGGGGCTAGCTGGTGTTTTAAAGTCCCTACAGGTACTTCCATTCTGGTGATGCAGCTCAGCCCCCAGAAGATGGAAACCAATCAGGGACCCCAAAAGTCCTGGGTGAGATTGGTTCTGGGGAAGGGGAGGCCGGTGTGGCCAGGAGGGACTGTAAGCCCAAAGCCCTGTTCTTGGGGGGTAAAGCTGGAAGCATGAGGCCAGACAGATGGGGATTTTGGCAGACAAAGGGTGTCATAGGGATGCTGGGTGTCTCGAGGGATAATGGGGTACCTGAAATGGGGGAACCAGAAAGTGAGAGGCAGATAGAAACAGAGGATAAATGCTTCTTATCTTAAATTGTGTCGACCATCCTAGTTGCTGCCTGAAACATTTTATGTCATGCAGTAAGACAGAGGCAGTGGACTGATGGGTTTGGGTTTGGGGGGCTTTTTTGGGGTACTATTGCACATAATGGAACCTCATTAGAATTTGGCAAAAATATATTCACCCCAAATCATAGTGGACACAGCTAGAAAAATGACCCTGGCGTGCCAGTCTCCATCTTGTCCTAAATGCTCTCCTCCTCATCCTGGTGGGATGAACAGATCACAGAAAACTGAGGAACCAACCTCATTTCCAAGCTCCTTCTAGACTTTTGACGCCCCCAGGTGAAAAATGCTTTAAAACAATTTTTAAGTCAGAAATTGTCAGTTTTTTTGAGTACAGGCATTTTAATTACATGTAAACAGACTCATGATTACATCAAAAGAATTATACTAGGAATGAACAATCAAAGTAAACTTCCAATTAAATGTAGAGAAACTTGTATGTCCATTGGGACCACCAATACCCCTCACCAGATTTCTTCCCACATCATCCTTGACTCGGGGACGTTGCACAGGAAGAGAAAATTCGAAGTTGAAAGAGAAGTAGAAAAATAACCCACAGACTTTTCCCCCCCTGTCTCTTGATTGGAAGCTCGAATGTTTGCAGTAACAGCACTCACAAAGGGGAAACTATCCCATTACAAATATTTCATAAGCTGCTCCTCCCTTATTACAGACACACATACTTACTTAAAAGTAAAGAGAAAGAGGCAGAGTCCAATATCTATGAGTCCAAACAACTCGTCCATTCGCACCAGTTTCACATCTCAAAGGCATCAAATATTAAAAGTAACAACAATCCTGGCATATTCCTTGAGGATATAGCCCCTTTGGGTACATTATAACACTCCCAATGGCCAGTAAGACAAATAATTAGAAAACAGCATGTCCAAAGTAAGACCTGTCACCTACCAAGTTTGTATAAGGAGCCAAAGAACTGGCAAGAATTACAGTGAGGAAGTAATACAAATGAACTGTCTTCTGTATGCATTCCTGTGTAAGAGAGGATTCTCTAGGCTGAAAAAGAATTTCTGCTTTCAATTCTCCCCCTTGAGCCAAACATTGCCCTGCCCTCCAGGTGGTGGGAAGACCAGACCAGCAGAGAACTGAACAGAATTTACTCCTTCATCTACCACCACTGGCCCCCAAGACCCAGCCCTCCTGTAATAAATAAAGCCTTGAAACAAAAGTCAGAAATTAGGGACACATATTTTTTGTTGTTGTTGTTATTTCACTGTTTATATTTTTTGGTGTTTCCTTTTTATTTGCAGGTCTAATTTCTTACTCACAGAAGAAGTCAATATCCTGGGGAAAAAAGGCAAAAAAAAAAAAAAAAAAAGAAAAAAGAAAAAAGAAAAAGGTTGAACTGAGCAGACAAGGACCAGAAAACAAATGCATTTTCTTTATTAAAAAATCATAGGTCATCAAAAGGAAATCTGGATTTAAAATAAGGTTGAACCCCAAAGAATATGACATAATTATCACCTCAAGTCAAAAACTACTTAAAATGAAGGTTCTCAAATACACTTTTAATTGGTGGTTATTTGACACATTCAAGCTCCATGTTCAGAAGGAATGACAAGTGAGTCCCGTTTGTGTGGGTTGGGCAATGTTTTGAAGTTATTTCATGCAGCAATTAGCTCCAGGAGAATGTCTTCAAAACAACCACCTTGCCAAGTAGCTCAAAGGGGTATCTTTTATGTCTCTTCTGGGGTTTGCAAGACCCCAGGGCACTGGAAAGAGTATAATTTCTTTTTCAAACATAAGTAGAATCTATCTACCACAGAAATAAGGCATCCAAAGATTTTTTTTTTTCCAGAATGTTTTGATTCGATACAGGTGCTGAATTTTTCCCAGCCCAGGTGCTTTAGTAAATAAATATAACCCTCAGTTAAGAGTCCGTGAATACTATATTCCTTTCTTTCTTTATGACATGGACTCCTTTCTAGGATAACTTGTATCTAAAAATGAAGGGGGTGGGTTCAGTAACCTTTCAACAGTGGGAATAGGTGTAAATGTTCGCCCAAACCTCCCTGTCCTCGGGGAAGCCTCCACGGCAAGTAGGGGGGTTGTTCAGTGAGTCTTGTAAGAGACGTGATGCATTTTTTTAAACTTTTTTTTTTTTTTAATTTTATTTACTTATTTGACAGAGAGAGAGAGAGAGAGATCACAAATAGGCAGAAAGGCAGGCACAGAGAGAGAGGGAAGCAGGCTCCCTGGCTAGCAGAGAGCCCGACGAGGGGCTCGATCCCAGGACCCTGAGATCATGATCTGAGCCGAAGGCAGAGGCTTAACCCACTGAGACACGCAGGCGCCCGACATGATGCATTTTTAACACTTGCCTGCGTTAGCTTAGGATCTGAGTCCATCTCTGGCCTACTCTGAGACACTTACCGTGGTGGGGACTTCCTTGGTGGCTTCTTGGTACACGTGTTGCTCCTCAACCAAGCTGCTGGGAAAATAGCCCAGGGTGCCCATCTCGTCCTCATGGTCATCTCCATAAACCTGAGTGCCCAGAAGAGTAACAGTCAGGGGATTGCGGATGGAGGTCCACTTCTAGAAACCCTCTGGGCTCGCATTTGTTGTGAATGAGAATTACAGAATTGCAATGTCCCGCTTTTTCATTCTGGGTTCCAGGGGCCTCAGATCCAACTTTGAAGCTCATTCACAGCCACTGAGTCAAGCCACAGAAAGTGTATCTCTGTTCCTCTGTGGCCCCGTCTTCCTGGTCTCACTGAGCATTCCTTTATTTCATGCAATCTTGTGAGCCGCCTGAAATCTTTTTGGAACCCATAAACAAAGTCAGTACTTTTCTTTTTTTCTTTTTTCCTTTTTAAAATTTTATTTAATTTCTTTTCAGTGTTCCAAAATTCATTGTTTATGCACCACACCCAGTGCTCCGTGCAATACGTGCGCTCCATAATACCCACCACCAGGCTCACCCAACCACCCCCGCCCCTGCCCCTTCAAAACCCTCAGTTTGTTTCTCAGTCAGTACATTTCTTAAGAACAAAATAGATACTTTTATTTTAAAGAACTGGTCTTCCTCAGTTAAAAATTTGAATGCACAGATACTTGAGTGAATTTAGGATTTAATCATTCATTCCTTGAGAGTCTGTCTGTGGGGCTGCAGATGAGAACAAGAAACCAGCTTGGCTTCCTCCCTCCCTAGGGTCCACCCCCTGCCGGTTTTCACTGAAGAAAGCAGATTCTCTGGAACTGAAGAGAGTGTTAGTTTCCTTTAAAATGTTGAAGTGGAGCCTGACTGCCAACACGCATGCCTTTTCCTTGGCAAATCCGTGCAAACATTTTTGAGTAAGTTTCAAGCTCTTTGGGGTGTTCAAGCCCCCACATGGTTGACTAGTCTTGACAACACATCACACAAACCTACATTTGGTTTTGTTATGAAATTTTCTTTTTTTCTTCAAAATGTAACAAAAGCAAATGTGTGTGAATTTCGACACTTGCATCTAAACCTCTCCATTGTTCTTTTAAGAGCTTATTCCAAACACTGAAATATATTGAAGGTAGATCAGAGAGAAAACATTAAGAGCAACCTATGTTCAGATGTGTGTATATTTGAAAGGATCTCATCTTACACTGCCAGCCCAGAATTCTCCAGCTCCATTTTCTTGTACCAGCTTTGAGTAAATGTAAATCTGCTGTCCTTTTTTAACATTAATGAACCTGCAGTCTGGGGCATTGTAATCTTCTCGAGCTCGGGCCAGAGAAATAGTGTCTGGAAGAAAAGAAACATTGAAATGACTACATTTTAGTCTCCTGGATTTTGTTCGTTCGTTTGTTCCTTCCTTCCTTCCTTCCTTCCTTCCTTCCTTCCTTCCTTTCTTCCTTTCTTCCAGATTTATTTGTGTATTTGAAAGAGAGAGAGAGAGAGAAAACTCATGGGGAGGGGGAATTGTGGAAAAGGGAGAGAGAGAGAGAAGCAGATTCCCTGCCGAGCATAGAGCCTGACTCGGGGCTTAATCCCACGACCCTGAGATCCTGACCTGAGGCAAAATTAAGAGTCCGGTGCTTAACCAACTGAGCCACCCAGGTGCCCCCAGTCTCCTCAATTTTCTAACAGTAAAAAGGCTAGGCATATCAGAAAACTAGGAAATCAGAGAGATCAGTAATTCCCAGTTTATAGTTCCCATTCAGTTCAAGAAGAGTAATATAGCCAAGTTCTGAAAGCTGAGAATCTTAACTAAGTGAATTCTCCATAGTAAGCCACCAAAGGTACAGACCATGAGAAACAGAGCTAGCGACATACACGTTAGAGAAGATTCACTTAAAGCCAATTAGATGTTCAGCTATTAGTGGGTATTTTTTTCAATTCTATAATAGAAAGATAATAAAAGGCATAAAAAAGGTCCTTACACACGCACTCGTCATCTGCACACAGCTTCTTGGGAGCAAGTCTGTCCATAAACATTCCATGCACGGCACATATGGCCACAAGACCTGGGAGGGAAAATAATAATAGCCTGGCCATCTTCCTTTTTTGGCTGTTTTTGCTGTCGTCCTTTAACTAGAAGTGGAAGCTGACTGCAGTGGTTCCTGTCTTTTATGTGGAAGCCAGACATCTGGGTGAGTGCCCCCCGGCCAATGGGAAGGTGCCCACCGTTCCTTCCTCTGCTTTCCTAACAGCCCCTGGGATCCAGGGGCTAATTTGCATCTGATTTTCCAAAGAGACCCAAACTCGAGGTCTTTTTCTTTTTTTTATTAATACACAAATGATATCCCAAACAGTCCACCATCGGTAAAGTCTTTTTAGCTGTGGTATATGCCCTAGCAGGAAATTGTGGAAAGAACTCTGAGAACTTTAAATCATTTAAAGCTGTTTTTTTGGCTCCATTTTCATATTCTTTCCACTTAGGAGCAAGGAGGTTCTAAGTAGAGGAATCTGCTGAAGATGAGAGATCCATATCCTTAGGACACAGAATGTTCGTTGAAACAAATCTGCTTAGTAAAAATGTGGATTTATAGACTAAATAAATCAAGGACGCTTAAGTTTACAAATCACCCATGATAGAATTTCCAGAAGTCGCGTCTGTCCTGAGGCAGATATGGTTTGGAACACATGAGCCATGACCATATCTAGACCCCAGCAAATGTGTAAAGGAGGATATAGGTGAGTTGGAAAGAATGGAACCATCTTTTTTTTTTTTTTTTTTTTTTTTTTTTTTACCCTCTGGGACATTTGAAATTCAGTCTCAAAACCTGCTCCTGGGTAGAGACAGGAGAAAGCTAGAGGCTCTTGTTACCGCCCTTCTCCCTGCTTCTGGGAATCTTTCCCATGGAAAGAAGAGCACTGCTAGAAATCACCAAAGTTGAAGGGCCAATACCCAGCTCCCATCTAGTCAATAAATATTTCCTGAGCACTGTTCCAGGCATAAGAGATATAGCCGTGAATAAAAAAAAAATTCCCTGGCCGCAAGAATTTACTTTCTGTGAGGAGAGACAGACAATGGGTTGCTGCTTTTTCTAGTGTTTGGGGCTGGTGTCTCTTTCATAAGATACACACACACCCCCGCACCATTGTTTCTAGAAGAGAGGTCCCTGTCAGGATGCCCTGTCAGACTTGGCTGGTGATGAGATTTCAGAGCAGAACCTCCTCCTCCTCCCTCCCCCCAGCGTGCCGTCACCTCACAAGATGAGGGACAAGCATTCAACTTACAAAATAATTTTGTACAAAACTAGGGATAAAATGGTAAAGCAAAAATATACTTACAGTATTATTTTTTTCATAAAAGGTTTTATTTGGGGGTGGGATGTGAGTATGTGTGTGTTGTTTTCAGAGGACAATCTTTTATACAGCTGGCCCAGATTTAGAAGCTCATTTAATTCAATATCTTCATTATAGCTAAAGATACTACAGCCTCTACAGTCCAGAACTACTTTTTTAAAAAAAGAACTTGTTTTATTTATTCATTTGAGAGAGATAGAGAGACAGAAAGAGCACAAGCAGAGGGAGAAGCAGGATCCCTGCTGAGCAAGGAGCCCCAGGCAGGACTCGAACCCAGGACCCTGTGATCATGGCCTGAGCTGAAGGCAGACGCTTAGCCAAATGAACATCGAGGTGCGCCAGAATTGAGATTTTAAATTCCTCATTTCCTATTTCCCTTCAAGGAAAAGATGAACGAGAAGTCATTTCCGAAAGCAGGTTGCCGGTGCTTTTTTCCTTCCTTATAAGCTAGGTGCCTAAGAGGGTCTCTGGGAAAACTAAAGCATTGATTAAATCTTCTTAATCCTGATCAGGCAGCCGTTTTACAGACTGTGCCGGTCTCAAGCCAGCCCTCCGCACAGGAGAGCTAGAAGACAATTGCCACTTGAGAGGCATTTAAAGGAAACAGGGATTGCCACCGTGTCCAAGCGCCCCCACCCTTGCCCTCGGAGCAGGGTGAAACATGGAAGAGATCCTCAACCAAGCCATCACAACTTAGCAAGCTAAGGCTGGTATTCACACCAAGCCATTATTGGCTACTGGAAGGTGGAGAAGCAAAGAAAAGAGATGTCATCTGAGCACATCCCAGGAAGGCCTGGGATGTCCTAGCTTTCTGTAGCAGGCAGAGGTAGGATGCAAATGAATGTTTTGCTCTCAGTTGGAATTTAAGCTTACAATAACTTGCAAGCATTTGTCCCTAGAGGCACACTCCAGACCTTGCAGATACTGGGGGTCCGGAGAAGGACCTGCTCTGTCATGAGCAGGCTCACCTCCTTCATCTGGATTTTCAGATGTATTCTCTGAGACTTTATTGCCCAAATGACATTTTCTTTTTAAGATTTTATTTATTTATTTGACAGAAAGATCACAAGTAAGCAGAGAGAGAGAGAGAGAGAGAAGCAGGCTCCCTGCTGAGCAGAGAGCCTGAGGCGGGGCTCGATCCCAGGACCCTGGGATCATGACCCGAGCCAAAGGCAGAGGCTTTAACCCACTGAGCCACCCAGGCGCCCCCACAAATGACATTTTCTGCTCTCGTTCCTAAATTAGTTTTCGATCTGCAGTTCTTAAAATGGAGCCCATGGCTCCTTTAAGGTCTAAAAACCAGCTTGGGCGGTGGATGGGGTGGAAGCAGCCCCCTTGCTGTGACCTACAAGGCCTTGCATGATCTGGCCCCGAGGCCCCTCCGGTCACTCTCTCCCTGCTTGCTCTGAGCCTGCCATATAAGCTGCTCTGTCTTTTGAAAATGCAAAGCTCATTTCTACGTTAGGCCCTCCAGAGCTGATTGCTGGGGAAGGTTTCACTCCACAGACCAGCCCTCCCCCAGATAGATGGGTTTCACACCGCCATTCTTGTCCTCCTGCAACTCGGTCCATCCATCGTGTGACCATGGCGCACCGCCTCGTCACTTATCACTACCTGACAGGCCTTTTTTTATTTACGTGGAGGTGATTTGTCCCCGTACACCACAGTGAAAGCTCCGGGACATAGGGACCTTGTTGATCTTGCCCTTCGCTCTATCACCAGCACCCAGAAAAACGGGTATTCACTGAATGAATGACCTCCCTGAAGTTGTGTGCTTAGGTGTATACATGCACGTTTTTGGTTTTATTTTTGTTTTTCCTGGGGAGAACCCTTAGGATTTATCAGATTTCAAAAGCGGTTTTTAACACCCCAAAATCAAGACTCACTAAGTTATCAGGGCAAAGACCAGGGTTTTGTCACCAAAGCATAGCCCCAGAGCACCAACTTCAGCATCACATTATAAATTAGCCTCTCAAACCCCACCCCTTAGGGTGCCTGGGTGGCTCAGATGGTTAGGTGACTGCCCTGGGCTTGAGTAATGATCCTGGAGTCCCAGGCTTGAGTCCTGTATCAGGCTCCCTGCACAGCAGGGAGTCTGCTTCTCCCTCTGATCCTCCTCGGTCTCATGCTCTTTCTCTCTCTCTCAAATGGACAAATAAAATCTTGCTAGATCAGTCTACAGTTTAATAAGCTATGAAAATGATTTGGAAGAACATGAAAGTTCGAGAAATATTGCTCAAGGGCAAATCAATTATAGCACCAATTTTTAAAAAAGACTTTATTTATTCACTTGTCACAGAGAGATATCACAAGTAGGCACAGAGGCGGGCAGAGAGAGGGGGAAGCAGGCTCCCCGCTAAGCAGAGAGCCCAATGCAGGGCTCGATCCCAGGACCCTGAGATCATGATCTGAGCCAAAGGCAGAGGCCTAACCCACTGAGCCACCCAGGCGCCCCAATTACAGCACAAATTTTAAGCCAGGGCTTCACACTCTTCATTAGATCTTTACTGGATACAATATTTCCAAGGATAAAACGCTTGCTAAATACCCAAACAGAAAATACTTTGAGCCTTAAAGTTCAAAATGGAGATAGGAACTTCTTGCAATGTTTTCCTTAAAAAACAACAACAACAAAAAGATTATTTGAGAGAGAGAGAGAAAGAATGTGAGCAGGAGGGAGGGGAAGAGGGAGAGAAAATCTAAAACAGACTCTCTACGGAGCACAGAGCCCAATGTGGGGCTCGATCCCACAACTGCAATATCATGATCTGAGCCCAAACCAAGAATCAGACACTTAACCAACTGAACCACCCAGGTGCCTCACATGATCCATTTTCACACCAGTTTCTTCTTCTTCTTCTTCTTTTTTTTTTTTTTTAAAGATTTTATTTATTTATTTGACAGAGAGATCACAAGTAGGCAGAGAGGTAGGCAGAGGGAGAGGGAGAAGCAGGCTCCCCATTGAGTGGAGAGCCCAATGCGGGGCTTGATCCCAGGACCTTGGGATCATGACCTGCCGAAGGCAGATGCTTAGCCGACTGAGCCACCCAGGTGTCCCACACCAGCTTCTTCTTATCAATATACTGCCTTCGAAAAATACAATTTGAACTAATGGCCTAACCATTATAACCTGCTTTGAAAAGTAAAAATCTGGTTTGTTAGTTCCTAACTCAAGTTGGAATCACTCAGGGAGCTTAAAAATATTGATGACTGGGTTTCATGGCTAGAGATTGGGATATAATTGATATAGGGTATAGGTTAGGCATGGGCTTTTGGAAATGTTTCCTAGATGATTCAGATCCACGGTGGAAATTAAATTCGAAGTTGAGAACCACAATAGATGGGCACATCTTACTTACTTACTTTTTGGAAAACTCCTGGCAACTCCAACAGATGGGCACAAGATCCCAGCATGATCAAATCATCTTCAAAGGGTAGTTAGCTCCTTTTTTCTTACCCCTCTTCCCTCTTGAAGACTTGCTTCCCAGAATTTGATTATATTCCAGGAGATTTAAGCAAATAAGTAAATGCATTGATCACTGGGAGCAGAGGACTTACAAAGAAGGGAAAGGAGGTTGGGGCACCTGGGTGGCTCAGTGGGTTAAGAGTCTGCCTTTGGCTGAGGGTCCTAATCCCTGGGTTCTGGGATTGAGCTCCTGCTCAGCAGAGAGCCTGCTTCTCCCTCTCCCCACTGCTTGTTCTCTCTCTCTCTCTCTCAAATAAAATCTTTTTTTAAAAAAGGAAAGGGAGAAGCCCAGAAGAAACCCAGCATTGTCGGATTGCAGTTAGAGGTACTGCTGGAAATTCCTTTTTCATGTAATTGTATAGAAACAGCCACAAATACAGACAGAGATATCTCTCTATACCATTAAGAAAGGTAAGGACAGGTCTGCCTGGGTGGCTCAGTG